CCGACGCTCGGGCGGGAGGAAAAACTCGCAGGGCTGAGTTGGCTCTGGGGACACGGGGACACAGAACCCCCCCGGGGGATACAGAACCCCCCCGGGGGATACAGAACCCCCCGAGGACACACGGGCCCCGCCCAGCACCGGGAACGCTCGCTTTGCCCGTTCAGAGCAGTGCAAACCCCAGCTCAGGGCCACCTCTCCACACCTGGCTCTGCTCTGCAGCCGCAGCACCAAAGGGCAGCAGAGCCCCACTGCAGCAAACTCACTCCTGTACATCGTGTTCCCCACTCCTAAACAAAGAACCCCTTGCTGTGGAGCAGATTTCCACCGCAATGCCAAAGCACAGCCTATGCCCCGGGTTTAGAGGGCTCTGGATTGATAAACTGCTCTCTCCAGCTTAATGCTTCCTCCTCTGGAACACCATCTTTAAACACCACCCAGAACAGCTCTTTTTCTATTGAGCTTTTTATTTGCTTGTAGAACATCTGTCTCCTTAATGTCCCTTTCCTTGCTAGCTGCCTTTTATTCCTTTATTGCCATCACATGTCTCGTCTGTCACACTGGACCTTTTCCCCTTAAAGGCACACGCAGCCGAGGAAGCCTGAAAAGGCTTTGACAAAAGCACACTCTGATCCAAGCCATCATCCTCACAAAATCTTACTTGCCCCAAATTATGAGATGTTACAGCTCCTTAATGAAACAGCTGAGATATTTTTAACATGGTCAAAAAACCTATTTTATAATCTGACCTTCAGCTCAGAAATAGCTGCACTATTTTTTTTTTTTAGTTAAAAAAGAAAAAAGACTGCATAAAGCAAACCACCCCTACAGTTTCAGCCTCAATATTTAAAGTTTGGCATCACATAACTAGCTGAAAACATGGTCTCTCAACAGAGGATATTAAATGACTGCTACTCCCAATTTCCAGCTCTGTCTATAATAATAACAAACTTGAGTGACCAGAGGCTGATTTGTCATTGCAGGGGAAATCTGTTTAGGAGTGGGGAAAAGGATGCACAGAAGTGAGTTTGCTGCAGTGGGGCTTCATTTCCCTTTGGTGCTGCAGGTGGCACTGGGCTGGGGAGGGTTTGCATGCTCTGAGCAGGCAAAGGGAGCTCCAACAGGACGAGATTTTGGTGAGGGAACCTTAGAGGAAACTTGCCTGTTACCTGCCAAATTGCTCAGCTCTGCAAAGGGGTTTAGTGCCAAAGAACTGGAGATGTGGCTGTGAAGGACAGAGTAATTTCTGGGATGATTTAGCTCCTTGTTTCTGTGGTGTTCAGTGGGCTGGGAGCCCTGTGTGCTGCAGAGCTGCTGGAGCTGGGCAGGGCTGTGCTGGGCATGATGCTCTCCAGTCCTGGGCTATCCAGTGCACAGGGCTTTGGGTAAGGCTGCAAACCTCTGCTGTGAAGCAATAAAGAACAGCTGGACAGCAGCTGGGGTTCTCAGGAAATAAAATTACTGCCTTGTGGCTCCTCCAGAAGCAGGCTGCAGAAATGGTGGCAGCATCTCCTGAGCTGGTGTGGGGCAGGGTACGAAAGAGGGGCTTTGTCATGGCTCTGGGGCAGGTGAAGGACTCACCTGCTGAGCAGGTTCTGGTTTGTGGTCAGCCTGACAGGCAGAAACCTCCAGTCCAGATTAGGAAGTTTGGATTTCAATGCTTTGGCCTGCTTGGTGTTAAGCAATGCCACTCTGTGCATCCCAACTCCGCACAGGAGCAGCCCTCCCCAGAGCCCTGCTCTGGCTTCTGCTGGCCAGCTCAGCTCTTAAAGAGCTTAGCACCCAAGTACAGCTGAGACACTCCAAGGTGAGAGAGCATTAGAGTAATGCTGCCTCTTAGCAGCTTGTGTTTCTATTGTTTCTTGGCTTTCCTCTCCCAACTGTGGCTTTTAAACGACAAAATCCTTGCCCAGGGAATGCCACTGGGTGCACAGCTGGGCTGGGGGTGCCCTCTGGGACGCTGCAGCTCCCAGTGCAGCTGGAAACCCCACACAAACAGGGCAGGGGGAAAGGGGATGGGGATGGGGAGAGCTCATCTCCACCCTGCTCTGCTTGAAGCAAACAGAAGTGATCAATCCACTAAGCCGTGCCTGCATTCTGCCTCCTGCCCTGAGGAACTGATGCTCTCATCGGCTTGGTCAGCAGATTAAAGATTGAGTGCTGGCATCTTCCCCAGGTGTTCTGCACTGGGACGAGCTGCCTGCTGGCTCTTCCTCAGTCTTGGGCTAAAGGAGGGTGGAAATGGAGGCTATGGGCTAAACGTGTGGCTTCTTCCTTGGAAAATGGGGAAACGTGAGGTCCTAGATCAATATTGACTGGTGAAGGATGGCACAGTGAGCTTTGGGCTGCCAGCAGGCAGTGCTGTGCTGGTTATCAGTTTGATCAATTTTATCAGTTTGATCAGTTTGATCAGTTTTATCAGTTTGATCAGTTTGATCAGTTTTATCAGTTTCCTGACCACTGCTGCAGCACAGCAGGGTTGCACAGCAGGGTTGATCAGTGCAGGCTGCTGCACTCAGAGCACAAATGCAGCCAGGGACAGTCAGAGGTTTTCCCTGACATCTGACAGCTGAACACGAAGACAAGGTTGAGAAGATGCTCTCATCTCTCTGTCCTGTTAAGATTGGACTCTCTGATAAAGCCTGAAGCCAAAACCCTTCCCCGTGTTCTCCTAGAGCAAAGTGAAATGCACCAAAATGCATGAGCATGTTTCTATAAATGGACTGTGGTGCAGCAGGGAATTGGTGCAGAGTTCGGGATGGTGCGTGGTGAGCGCTGCATCCCTGGCACCTGCACACAGCCCTGGGCGCCAGGCTGTGCTCTGTGCCCTCCTCACCCTCCTGCTGCACAGGAACTCTGGGGTTTGTGGGCACCGTGGCCTTGGGATGCTTCACTAAATCAGTGTTTGCTGAGCCCTGGCAGGGAGGGGGGAAATTGCAGTGAAATGTTTGTGCCGTTCAGGGGAGTCTCTCACACACCCAGGTGGGAATTCCTGCTGGGAATGCTCCCTCTGCCATGCAGGAGCTGCAGCAGTGCAGTGCTGGCAGCAGGGCACAGGGAACACAGTGCTGAGTGCCAGGTTTGTCTCTCTCTGGGGTGCTGTAAAATCTGGATTATCAAGAATGTTACCTTAAGCAACAGGTTTAGAGGAGTAAAAACCCATCCAGAGCTCTGCAGAGGGGGATGAGCGCAGTGCTGGGGGCAGGCCTGAACCTCCATCTCTCCAAAGAGAAAGGGAGATTTCTCCATTTCTTCTCAAAGAGGCAAAGAACCAGCATCCTGAGCATTGGGTTGTGCTGCTGAGGGGTGCAGGTGGCCCACTCAAAAGATTAATCTCCAAATGGAAAAGCAATGACAGTGAAAGGGGAGAAAAAGGCTCCAGGGCAGTGCCAGGACTCTCTCAGATGCAGATAATCAGCAGATCTGAAAACTTGATCTGAAAGCTTTCAAGGAGGGTAGCAAAAGGCAATAATGAATTGAGATTGACCCTGAGGTACACTCGGTGTTCTGCTGTGATGCATTGGATGTGGGGGCCTGAATATATGTTGTATTGTAACACCAGTGTGGTTCCAAGTTACTCCAAACGAGCTGCAGCTGCAGGGTCCTTAGTTGGGCAGCAGCTGTGGCTCGTGAAGGTAACTGAGATAAATAGGGGTGGGTCAAGAGCCCAAGAGGAGCCCCTGAGAAGAGAGAAAGGACTGTGCTGCAGAGAAAGGGGACGAGCCCCAGCAGAGAGGCGAGAACAACGCTGCAGCGAAGATTACAACAACTGGTGACCCCGACGTGATGAAGAACACACAACCAAGCATCAAAAGAAGGTGAGGAAGAACACTGCAACCAAACATTGAAAGAAGGTATGGAATCCCCTGGACAGCCGAGAGCTGTGGCAGCCTGAGAGCTGGGACTTTGGAATATCAGCCAGAGAGCTGGGACTATAGAAGATAGGACAGCTGAGAGCTGTGACAGCCTGAGAGCTGG